GCTTAGAGATAGAAAAATGCTCTACCCATGACAATTTTCAAAATACTCAAAGACAGGGGCATCAATCGCTTCCTTTGGAGACTATTGGAGAAAATGATCACCAACACCTATTAGCACCCTCCCTTCTTCTACTCCCTGCCCCCACTCTCCAAAAATCTCCCAGGATTTCACAAGATGTCAACTAATTAGGTATTGGCATGGACCAGCCTCTGTAATTCCTCTTCTTCCTTCTGGCTGATGGAGTGTCATCTGCTCTGTAATTTGACTAACTGATAGTATTCTGTCTGATTATATGGCATTAGAGAAAATGATTAGGGGAAAGAGGACAGTGAGCGAAGCAAAGATGAGATATCTCTTGAAAAACTGCTTAGAGGAGTTGTGGGAACAGCTAAAATCCATTGAGTGGAATTATATCTTCCAGGTGATAACCAGGACTGATAAAGCTATTTTTTCAAAGGCAAAAATGAGAGTTAAAAGCATCCATTTTGGAGAAATGGGATTTAGGGTGTGTTCCTCATGTGGACAGGGTGAAGCACTGACAAAGCAATCCTGAAGTGTTGATGCACTTCGCCTTGAGCAATCTCAATAAATACCTCTCTGCAATTAGCTTTTTAAATGAATGCACTGAATTGTTGGTTAAATTGCCTTTGTTTGCAGTAGCTAAGATCCATTTTAAAGTCACTAGACTAGAAGCCACACATCTCTCTACAATCATAACTTAGTTTTCACACGATGGGGTGAACAGATTTAAAATCTACCACTGCCAACTGAGAGGTCTTGCTTCCTTTTCAGTCTGCCTCGCTGCCTTCTCCTGCATGCACACTCTTCTGCCTGAGCTTTTGGAAACTAATTCGGTTTGCTATCCCAGCACAAAGCAAATCATTTTTGTTTGCATGTTTGTTTGTTTGTTTGTTTTGGGTTTTTTTTGTTGGTTTTATTGTGGGAAGGGAGCAGGACAGAGAAGTGAATCATCTCCTATTTGGTGGTGACAAGCCATTATATCAGGGCAACTGTCTGTGAGACCACGGCCTAACACAAGGGATGAACCCTTGAAGCCAAGTGAGATGCAGTTGTTGCTGAGATGTCCAGTGTGTTTATATGGCAGGTGCTGACCGGGAGCCCTGAGAGCTACAACTCCTGACCCCTTACCAAGAGGGAAAAGAGTTTCTGCCACACAGGTACACTGATGGCATTTCCCAGGGTTACCTCAGAAAAGCTTGCCTCTGTGATTGAGTCCCATGCCAACGTTCATTAAAAAACTTGTTTAAACTTGTGAAATGAAATATAACCCTGAGCTCGTAGTGGATGAGGTTAAGCTGACACTGTGTTTTGGCGTGGGCCCATGTCCTTTTGGACCCAAGCCTTTCTTGCACCTGTACTGTCTTGAAGGCTCAGGGTTTTGAGGAGCTCCGGGTCATGTCAAAAGGGAAAGCCTGGGCCTCCGATGCCGCTTAGTGTGGGTTTTGCCTTTCCTGAAGTGTGAAAGGGATGAGCTCGGTGGGTTTAGCTGGGTCTGCTGTTCACCGCACCCGCCCTGGAGGAAACGTCACACAGGGAGACAGGGCAGGCAGCTCAGCCCAGGGCCTTCCCGGTGAGGAGCTCAGGACAACCTCCATCTCATGGCACTGCAATGAAAAGTGGGCGAAGGAGCACTGTGGACAGCTCGGACTAAATCTAAGAGGAGACAGGAAAGCAGCAATCTGTTTTGCCAGCAGAGGAAGAGAGTGACTGCTTGTCAGACCTCTCTAAATTTACAGGGGAACGGCAAAGACCAGCCATTTACTGCTTTAACCCTTTCCCTGGGCATTTACAGACCTTTGGCTAAACATGGGTTTTTTATAAAACTGGGTGTTTTGGCCACATGGCTCCTGGAGCGATATTTTTCAGTGCCTGTACCATGAAGCTTGTCCCAGACTCCCACTCCACAAGTGGCTCTGTCTTTTAGGGAAGATATATGGGATGAGAAATGGACTTATTAAGAGGTCAGACAGAGGAGGCAAACTGCAGTTTGCCTTGTAAGTGACAACATTGCTTACTGGACTTCTTCCTTACCTGCTTTCCACATCACAGCAGTGATCCTTGTGCCTGGGCAGGTGTCCCTCATCTTCTGGACCAGGCACCTACAGAGGAACATCGTCCCCATGTTTCTGGACCTCACTAAAACGCTGGTATCTGACTCAGTGCTGACCTTGGCTCCAGGTCTATGACAGGGGAGAAAAAACAAGTGTTATACTTTATAAGGGCTAAATACGGAACAGCTTTAAATGATTGAACTCCTACATGCTATTAATGGGTTAATCTAGGAGATGTGGCAAGGACAGATGAATAAAACTAATGTATTAACAGCAGTTTTCAGTACCTACTGAGAGAGGGATGTTCTTGCTTAACCAAGCGTGGCTGGATAGCCAAACTTACTTTTACCCAACATGGGCACTGAACTCATTTCAGATCCCTGCTCTTCGGAAGGTGTGAACCTGTAATCCTGAGCTACAGGGAATGTAGTATATGCCATCTCTGAACTGCAATTAGGAGAATTCCTATGTTTTGTAGTGTGCTTCTGCTGAAGCCAGGAGCAAAATAAATGACTGAATGCATAAAGTCTCTTTACGTCAGTGGAGATCAAATTATCTAGCAAATTAACAATAAATATCTTGCTAAATTAAATCCTGTTTTCTTCAAATAGCCACAAGGAGTTTGAACATTCAGCAGCAAGCTGATTGCATAAAAACAATGACATCTTAGGCAAATGCCAAATATTACAAACAGGGTATTGTTTAACATCCTGATACTCAGATAAGAGTTTAAGAATGTTATTCAGATTTTACATAAGCATTCCTTTTTCTTTTTAAAGGAAATCAAAGGCAAGAATCAAGGCAAAACAATGCTTCAAGTCCAAATTATTGTATTATTAAAATAGGATTTTATAAAGAAAGCTGATTGTATCTTTCTCTATAAATACCTGCTTCCTCTCAGTGCCATACAACCTACTCCTCACAATATTACACTGCCCATAGCTATCTTCTCTCCTTCCCTATATATACACATATATATGTATATATGTATGCATGCATTCCTGTTCTAACATACATAGAGACACACCCTCACACCACTTTCACACATCCTCAAGGGCTTTTTCAACTAATGGAGCACTCTAGCATCCTTAGGCTGAGATGAAATATTCAACACCTTACAGAGGTTATGCAATCCTTTTTTATATGTAATTAAACTACTCTGGTTTACATGGATTAAAAAATTCATAAACACTTGAGTCATTTTAGTTAAAGCTTCTGCTAGTACAATGGAGTCACTCCCTGCAAATATTCTGTACAAACTTTCTCATGGTGCCAGGGAGTGTTTTCTTCTTTTCCTCCAGAATAACTAACATGAAGAGACTGACAAGAAAATTATGAGTCTTTTGTATTTGTTTTTTTATTACAGAAGCAACAGTCTCTGAAACAAGTTGTCTGTAATCAAACCGATTTACTGTATCCTTTCTCCCCTCATCCGCTTTCCTCCAATATGCCCTAGCCTTAACTCCCCAGCCCGCGACGCTCATTTGCCAGAGGCAGCACTACTGTAGCTCTCTGCATGCAGGCTGGCTCCCAGGCTGGTGCCAAACTGGGTGTATCGCAGCTGAATTTTGCCAGACCTTTTCTCAATGGGAACGTTAATATGAGCTGCTTTCCAGAACCACCAATTTTCACGTGGTTTACCACAGATTTATCTTATTTTTTCAGGTTTTGCTAAGAACTACCAGTGGATTCAATGCTTTTTGGTGGGCATGAGAGACACCTGGACACACAAGCAGGTAGACAGAGCAATCATATGAATTTCTTTTGCCCTCTGAAAGCCAACCTAGAAAAGAGAAGGGATATAAAACATCATGTTCAGGCCAAGCTACAGCTGTTAACTGAGAGGGCATGGGGATAGAGGTCCCACTGTGGATGGGCAATTCTGTGCTTCTACAAATGCTTTTTTTGTTCCGGCTGCTGCTGGAAATAGGATACAGAATCACAGAATCACAATCACAGAATGATTAGGGTTGGAAGGGACCTCTGGAGATCATCTAGCCTAAGCCCCCTGTTAGCAGGTTCACCTAGAGCAGGTTGCACAGGATCGTGTCCAGGCGGGTTTTGAATATCTCCAGAGAAAGAGACTCTACAATCCCTCTGGGCAGCCTGTTCCAGTGCTTGGTCATCCTCAAAGTAAAGAAGTTTTCCCTCATATTCAGATGGAACTTCCTGTGTCTCAGTTTGTGCCCATTGCCCCTTATCCTGTCACTGGGCACCACTGAAAAGAGTCTGGCCCCACCCTCCTGACACCCACCTTTAAGATATTTGTAAGCGTTGATAAGATCCCTTCTCAGTCTCCTCTTCTCCAGGCTAAACAGACCCAGCTCTCTCAGCCTTTCCTCATAAGAGAAATGCTCCAGTCCCCTAATCATCTTCGTAGCCCTCTGCTGGACTCTCTCCAGTAGTTCCTTGTCTTTCTTGAACTGGAGAGCCCAGAACTGGGCACAGTACTCCAGATGTGGCCTCACCAGGGCAGAGTAGAGGGGGAGGATAACCTCCCTCAACCTGCTGACCACACTCTTCCTAATGCACCCCAGGATACCATTGGCCTTCTTGGCCACAAGGGCACATTGCTGGCTCATGGTTAACTTGTCCATCATGACTCCCAGGTCCTTCTGCGCAGAGCTGCTTTCCAGCAGGTCAACCCCTAACC